CTCTAGAGCAAAATCAGGCTCATGTTCTGAATAAAAATATAAAGCAGCAAACTTCCAACAAGCCACTCGTTTCAATTCCAGGGGAAAGTTGATTAATATTTTTTTTTAAGTTCCTAGAAAATTGCCTTTTTAAAATGTGCTTATTCTCCACAGTGACTCTCAGCCTAGCCGTGGGATCGTGCGTGTGTTGTTTTGCAATGATTTCCATTCCATTAAGAGTAACGAGAATGGCTTTCTCTTTCCTTTCTTTTTTTTTTTTTTCTGTCCCCAGACGACCAGCTCAGATTGCCTTGTGATCCGATAGCTGAGTTGGGGTCTCTCTGGCTCCTGGGCTATCGGTGTGATCCAGAGCTATGTGAAATCAAGGAGAGTCTTCCCTGCTACGCACAGAGCCACGTGAGCTAGGGACGGGAGAACACCGGCCACCCATTTCCTGCCCACAATCTCAGCCTAGACCATTGCAGAGACTCTTTATAAGATCAAAAACATCCTCCTTAATCTAACCACACAAAGCTTGACCTTCCCTTCTGAAGACAGGCTCGTTACGAAGCTTCATAGGTCAGAACACGCCTGCTCCTTTAATTGATGAGTCCCCAAAATGCTCTTGGATGAGCGAGGGCGCAGGTTGTAGCCATGCTGGTCTAAGGGCATAGGCAGGCAAGGTTCTTTGGGTAAATCCGATATCTTTTATCTAATTTGAGTTGGTCTAATAAAAGATACCGGATTTACCCAACGAACCTTGTCTTGGATGAGAGATGCTTCCATAAAGGTTGGCTGCGTCTTTGGACATTGACGTTGCAATGATGAACCCGGCGTGTAGATAACGCCACGATGGGGTGAGGCACTAACAGAGCGGTCAGGGTAGTTGTTAGCGTGCAATTGCCCCTCAAGTGGACACAGACTAAGCTTTTATAGTTTGGAAATCCTGAGACAGTTCCTTGGGGCAGCACACGCCTCTCCTGAGTTGATCCGAGTCTGGCTCGGGAAGGATGAACCCTTGGAAAAGCCTGTTGGAGGGACAAACCTTTAGGACATGATTAGATTGCCACGTTCCCCAAACTTGGAGCAAAAGGCCAGAGAAGCTAATGACATCCTAACATAGAAGCTAACCTTGATATCGGGGTGATGGAGCATCATTTCTGTGTCCCTGCAGTTGTGTGGTGTCTCTTACTCTAGATGAGCAGAAGACTATTCGGCTGGCTTGATAGCAGTGCTCCATTGAAATTTCCCCAAGCTCCTCTTGAATCGATGTTCCCTCTAAAACCAGGCCATTTGATTGCTTCCCTTCCCTTCCAGCTGTGAACTGCCTCCTGCTTCCTGGGTGCAAACCGTATTTACAGGTGTGCGGCAGCCAGTCCTCTCCAAGGAGAAGAAGGTCTTAGGAGGATGCCGAGCTCATCGAATTAAACTTGTTCTGTTTACACCTTGAATTTCAAAGCTGGCTGTTAGTAGGCCAGGTTTATGCTCAGTAGTTACTACCAGAATTCATTAAAAAAGGCAGAAAAAAAGAACAAAACCATCAAAATGGTAGACGGCAGGGTTAATGACCTCCTGTTGGCCCCCATCCTGGAAAAGAAAGCATTCAACCTTCCTGCACAACATCTCCCACACCTAGCTGAACTACCTGCATCTTTGGTCTGGGCTTGTGCCCCGAAAGAGTCCAGGGGTGAATCCTACAGGGGACGTAGTGAGGTTTGTGTATGAACATTAAAGAGCTCCTGAAAGTCGTGGTCTCTGAAGATCCCTGCACGAGTCGCTTGCCCCTTCCGACATACCGCGTAGGGCTGAGACCATCAAACTCTCCCTACCAATTTCAAGTATTCAGTTCCAATGGGTCACCTTAAATTGGCATTGAAAATATCAGCCCTAAAGTAGACCTTGGGCCAAGAAGAGACGGGGCATTAGCAAAGGGATTCCACCAAAGAGTCTATCTCAGTCCTAAGTCTCTTATTTTGATAAAGAAAACTTGGGGATAGGCTGGTGCAAACCCCTGTATTGGTGCAGGCTGAGACCACCAGACTTGCCAAGCTGGAGCTCACTCCATATTTTTATGGCGTTCGTGATGGATATGCTGCAATTTAACATTTTTAGAGTGGAGGAATCCAGTTTGCACTTCCTTCCGGGCAGCAAAACCTTGAGCTTTCCAAGGCTGCTTTTCAAGCATGCAGATGGCTCTGAGCTCTCTCCAGTCATTCTTACTAGGCTTCGTGATGGCACAACCATCCACGTGCGAGCGGCTTACGACAGCGAAGCTCAGACTCGCTTTGCACCCTGAAAAAGGGAGAGCACCTTTAGGAGAGGGTAGTGATACCTAGGGCTCTCACTCAAACGACTCCTGGTCTCGACTGGTGGGTTTGTCCTCTTGCGATCGCTCCGTTTCGATATCCTTGGGCTTGAGCAGCTTTGAGACAGGACAAAGGGGATTGCCTTGTTCAAGATTTACAGGGGCAATGTCTGGTGTACAACTGAGTGCAAACAAAACCATCCCGAATAACTGATGTTTTTATTAAAAAAACTCAGGACTTTTTTTGGCCAATCTCCTGATTTGTGGCGCAGGGGTAGGTGACTTTGTGATTTTGCAAGCCTTGGGTTTTGCAAGACGGAGAGAGAGGCTGAGGAAGGTGTAGCTGAGCATGATGGAGCAGAAAGAGAGAGAAACAGCTGAAGAAACACCTCTTCTCCAGCCAGCCCCTGCACAGCGAGCGCTCCAGCCCCGACATCCCCAGCTGCAGCCTGGCGCCAGTGACCGCGTCTCTCCCCACTCCTACCTTGAACTAATACTGAAGGTGCCCAGCTCGTGACTTATCTGCTTCCTTTTGTTGCCTTGCAACCTGTGCAAACAAACTGTGCTGCTCTTGATAACCAAGGAGGTGACATGACTAATTTTCTTCCCAATCTGGGGTGGGGAAATAACAGGATGGAATTAATTTGTCCTCTCCGCTGGCGGCAGCTTCGGGCTGTGGGCTGCTTTTTGGCCTCAAGTGGGTTGCTAATTGGTAGTTCAGCTGGCTAACTTTAGTTCACCGCAGCGCTGGAGATGAACGAGGTGGACCTGAGCGTATTGATGTAGATGTGGAGCCTGGTGAGACGGCCAGCATTTGGGCCCCGTTGCTGAATAAGAGCTAGGAGGTGGATGGCGCTTCCGGTAGGAGCGGCCGAACGGGGAAGGGCGAGAGAGCCGGGCTCATAAAACTCCATCAAGTCAGCCCTCCGCCTGACAAACTCCCTCCTAAATAATCCTCGCGGCGCTCCTGTGCAACCAGTAACACGTTATAATTTAGGAGGCAGGTCTGGTGATGGAGGGGAGGAGAGCACCGAGGCAGGCCAAAGCGAAGTTGGAGGCAAGAAGCCATTCGTTATTCCTCCGTCACGCTCCCGCCGAGGGATAAGGAGCAGATCTATGTGGGTGCAGGTTTACAGCAGCCCAGGCGCTGACAGGAGGATATATGTCACCCACTGCCTGCACCCGGGCTGCAGCTGCTTCCGCGCTGACGGGCTGACGGAGTAGCTGCTGCTTGAGGAGGCTTTAATGAGGCAGTTGCATTATTTTTTTTTTTTTCCCCTGGCTACTTCGCCCCGTTATGCAGTCGTCAGGAGGTTAATGAGCTAATTTGTGGCCTTTGCATGTGCCTATTGATCGGACCTCAAGCCGCAGCAGACGGCTGCATCGTGCAACGCGGTTACGGCGCGCGGTGCTTCAGATGAAACGCGACGGGCGCCCGTGTTCCCGGTGGGCATTGGCGTGGCTCGGCAGGGCTGCATGAATGCAGCGACAGGGCTGTTCTCATGCTGTCTGTTGTGGGGAGGAAACTCCCAGTCCGTAGCCACTTCGGGGCCTGGGGAGTCTCTGTGCATGCAGGAAGCTGAGATGAGTCAGCTTGCAGGGAGTTTATGGGAAACACAGGCAGGGTAATGCCCGGCAAAGGGTGCATGAGCAGCTGTGACCCTGCCCGACCGCTTTCAGTTTCAAGTTGACTCTTAGTCTCGACCATCACCAAGCTGCTATTAGTGTGCTGCCGATGCCTCGGGTGCAGGTGGACCTGCAAAACTGGGTCTGTACTGGTCTAGCCCATCTCACACGTGGGAGGTTGTGGTTCACTGCATTGGTGCAAAGGGTCTCTGCCAGTAAAGCCACATTCCCACCCACATCACCTTGCTTGCACAGCGCACCTGTATTCTTGCACAGGTAAACTGTTCCTAGTCTTGGCGGGGCCAGAAACAGCATGGCCGGAGATGGGTCGGGGACTTGGCACGCCTCGCAGATCCAAAGCGCAGAGCAGCATCTCAAAGTGGTGCTGCTGATAGCACGAGCACCGTTTAACCCGTCGCGTGGGGATTCGGCCAGCAATCTGCCGGGTGGGGTTTTGACGAGTGATGGAGGGCTGGGAATCACGCTTGCGCTGCCTTCTTTCCCGCACGGCAGCCCGTCTCTTCGGAGCAGCCTGCTCGGGAAAGTTTTACCAGCAATTCTCTTGCATGTGCTTGGGTCGGTCGTGGAGCAAAACACCAGCGCGTGTAAAAACTGAGCCTGAGTGTTTTCGGTGCTGATTTACACCAGGAAAGTTAGCTTCCTTCTGGAAAACAGAACTTGGTATTTCAAAGCAGGAGGTGTGCAATGCACCCTTGGAGATTTTTCTTTTCAAACCCATTGTGTGCTCCAGAGCCTCTGCCAGGTTGGTGCAAGGAGTCGACGGACTTCAATCCTTGTGCTCCAAGTGCTTTCACTTTTAAAAGTCGACCCCAGATATGTCTCCGTTTTTTTTACCCCTCGTGTCAAATGCACGATAGCTCATTTCCCCGAGTGACTTTGCACGGAGGCACCCTGAAAAACGATGGCCATCGGGTTCTTCCATCCTGTCGGTGCTTTCCAGGACCTGACCCTGTGGTTTGTTTGTTTTTTTGTCTGATTTTTCAAGAAGTCCCTTGGCTCTGGAAGGTGCCTTGAAGTCTTTGCCTCGGCCCTATCAATAGCTGATTGTGCTTTTGTGCTTGTTTTTCAGGTTAGCCGGCTCTGCGGCCGTTCTCAGCAGAGGAAGTACAGGTCGGCGGCCTACCCCGAAGACCTTTTCATTGACAAGAAGGTCCTGAAGCTGGCTCGGATTGAACACCAGGAAACGCTGTCCAGCCGGAGGAGGTGAGGCTGTTGTGACTCCAAAACGTATTTTGTTGCACGAGCGTTGTGTGTCTACCCGGCCACGGCATGAACGCCAGTGTATTTTCCTTCTGCTGTTTCCACATTTGCTATTAGGGGACATAAGGGGTGGTGGCGGGGGAAGGATGGAGAAAAGAATGAGGTGCGATCCAGAGGGGAGAGAAGAAATGAGGACCTCGGGATGGCACGGCGGCTAGAAGCACCATCGGGCCCTGCCGGTTGCGGGGTATTAGAAGCGACTAGTCATTTGGCTTTTTCCGGGCACTGCTTTTTGGGACCACACATTCACACACATGCGCATGCACGCAGAGCATCCTTCGCTGCCCAAAACCAGCACCCTTTCCATCGTGCCCGGAGGAGCTGTCGGTGCAGCAGGGGTGGGAGGCGGACGCGGCAGCTCCGTCTCATAGGGAAGCCACAGATCCCACCTGACTTTGGCCTTGCCCGCGAAGGCAACCAGCCTCTCCCCTGAAAGCAAGCATGCAAATCATCTGTGCTGGTTTTGGGCAGGGAAGGATGCTCTCTGTGCGTGTGTGTACGCCCGGCTTTGCTGACTCTTTACCAAAGCTTGCTTATTGGCGCAGAGGTAGAGATAAATTGCAGTGCAGATGCCTTGCCATAGCCTGAAAAGCTGCATTATATACCGAGCCCCATCAACGCTGCAGGGGGAAAAGGGAAAAGCAAAAAAACAGAGGCAAGGGACTCATATTTCACAGCCTCTGTGTTTATTGGAGACTCTGCGAACACCGGCTGTGTGGATCTGATTAGGGGTGAAATGCTGCCTGCCTTCGTAAAAAAAATAAAACTAAAAATGCCGGCTCTCCCGGGCAGCACTGAGACATCTTCTCTTTGTTTCGTCTGCCCCCAGGTGGGTTGTTGGCACCTCACAACCGATCTTTGCAGGAGCCTCGTGAAGTGGCTCAGCCACTTTTAGGATCAGTGCTGAGAAGCAGTGCAGGCCGTGGTGGTCAAGGGGTTATGGGGATGACGGCAGCACCCAAAGCCCTTAACCAGATTTGGAGGTCTCTGTGGTGCTCGGTGCTGTACAGATACCCCAAAAAAGCAAGAACCTGCCCGGAGGAGGTGGCATCCCTAAGGAGACCCGATGCATACGCGTTGGGAGGGGGACGGTGCCGCTTCAGAATTCAGTACTTATTTTGGGGGCTGATGCACGTGCCCCGTGCCTGCAGGAATAGGAACAGCAGACGTAGTGTAAATGTCTCTCCTTTCTTACACCTGTTGCTGCTTTGCATCCCCTAAACTCAGTACAGACCCTGCCCCATCCTCCTTGCACCATCCTTGCAGGCTGCCATTCTGCGGGCCTCGCACAGCTGGTCCAGGACGTGCGCTGAGCCGGGGTCTAGGAGGCTTTGTTTCCAAGTCTTGCCTCTCCACTTCCTGCTCTTCATCTTCCTGTGTCCTTCGTTAATTAACTGCACTCTCAGCTTTGCACAGCAGCCGTGGAGGAGGACAAATGTGCCCCCCCCCCCACACACACACACAAAGGTGGACACCCTGGCCAGAAAGCAGGGGGCCAGCCTGCTTCACCTGCCTCTGTTGCATCCCTGCCAGCTGCTGGAGTCTCCTGGGAGTCGGACCCTTTCTTTCTATGGCTCGGCGTTGCTCTGTCATGGGTAGTTGTCTAAGTATGGAGCAGCCTTTACCCTGCAGCCCTGGGGGCCTAACTGAGTTCACACCCTGCCCTGTCTCAGTTCCTCCCATCTACTTCTGCCATCCTGCAGCGGATGTTTATGCAGCGTGGGATCTCTCAGCGTGGGCTGGGCAGGGGCCGTCCGGTCAGCAGCTGCAGATCGTGCATGTTCAATCATCCAGACGGAGGAGGAAACTCTCAGGCTCACGCATGTGTGCTCCTTGCCCTGTTTGCAGTAGCAGAATCACAGAAGCAAAGAGGAGCAGGGCTTGCAGGGACGTCCAGAGCTGAGCCCCCTGCCTGGGGCAGGATCAGCCCCGTCCAAACCATCCCAGGCAAATCCATAATCCCTGACACAACACAGACATCACACCTGGACCTGCCACAGGGGAGCCGTGGCAGCCAAAGTCCTGCTGCTATAAAAGGTTGTTAACATATGCTCAAGAGGTAGTGCCTCTTGAGCATATATAAAAGGTTGTTAATATATGCTCTCAGGTAGTGCCATGGCCCCGGCTGCAGAAGAAGGCAACCCCCCTCTGTCCATACCAATCTGATGAGGGGTAAAATTCCCTCCTGAGATCGGCCTGGCCACGAGCGGAGGGGCAAGACCCTCAAGCCAGGAACCTCGGGGTTTAAATCCTAGCAGGAGCGCTGGCACAGCCCAGCCAAAATCCCCAGCGCCGGCTGCAGCCGGCACTTGGTGCCTCTGAGGAAGGCTTAAAAACACCCTGACGTGCAGCAGTAAGGTGGGGAGGGAGCAAAGCCCAGAAGCATGGGAAATACTGGTGTCTAGCTGCTCCGAGTCCTCAGTCCTGACTGCAATTGGGTTTTTAGCCCTGTTGGACCCTCAGCAGGCAACCTCGTGCAGATCTATGGGCTGCTCTGACCATCACAAGAGAGGACGAGGAGGGGATCCCAGCGCTGGGTCTGGCTCCTTGCTGGGCATTTTGCAGCAGGCATGGTATGGGGTCAGCTTGCATGTGCTTTGCTGACAAAGAGGGGCCCTGACCTGGCAGAGATGGGTGCAAATGCTGTGTGTCACAGCTGGGAGTGGAGCTGGTGACTCTGCTTGTGTGTTGAGTGAAGCTGTTGGGGATGTGGAGGTGTCACTGGTCTGGCCCCCGAAGGGCGCATGGTGGTGCAGTGCTCAGCCAAACTGCACGGCTCTTAATGTCCAGCTCTGGCTTTTACTTCTGCAAGTCCCAGGTTTTTGTTCCTGGTAGCATTGGCTCAGAGGGCAGCTGTCCCACCAACCCTTGTCAAGGCAGAGCCACGATCCCATGGCTTTCCTCAGCCCTGATGTTGATGGGCATTTTGCCTGCAAGCAAATAGACCCGAGAGTATCTGACTATATAACGTAAAGGTGCAGCGCATGGTTGCTGACGCCTTCAGAAACATGGCTGGCACTTTGTGGTAGACTTGTGTCTTGGTGTGCCCACATAGCAGGGGGAAAAGAGTGTGTGTGTGTGCATGCACAGGTGTGCGTGAAACACTTCTGTACAATCCTCGACAGCATAATTGCGCACGCGAGGCCTGCTCATCAAACAGGCCGACCCATGAATGCCCCGTGCCCTCTAATTCGTTTCATTTTGCTTTCCCTGCAGGGAGCTCATCATGAAGCTGAAGTCTCACGGCAGCTTCTACAGCAGCTTACCGGAGTACATCTGCAGCCACAGGTCGGCCGTTCAAAACGACACCCTTTGCTGGAACGGGCAGGAGATCACGGAGAGGTAAGACGTGACCTGCTGCTTCTCCCCTGGCCGCAGCTCGTGGGCAGGGAAAGGCGCCTGCGGGATTGAGGCCCGTTGCATCTATGACTCTCTTCGGCTGTTGGGGTTTAACCGAGCTTTGCTGACCGTCTCTGTTGTTCAGAGGTGCCTCCTCCAAGCACCCTGTGCTGCTCTGGGTGGGTGCCCGTGGCTGGGTAGGTGCCTGCACATAGGTCGTTAGTGCTGCCAAGTGACGAGGCGATTTGCCTGACCCCCTGCTTAATGAGTTAGCCGCCAGGCTGGGCGGCAGTGGCACGTTCCTGCCCTTGGGTGCTGCAGCTGGGATGCTGACCTTGCTCAGCGCACCAGCCCTCCAGGCATGTCAGAGGCTAGGTGTCCAGTGGAGGAAGGGGTGCACAGCTGCTCAGTATGGAAACCAGGCAGCCACGAGCCCGTGCAAAGAGCAGGACGGGTGTTGACCAGCTGGAAACAGAGCTGAGGAGCAAGGTCTTGGCACAGCAGTGCTGCTAACAGGAAAGGGCTCCTAGGTTCAAGTAACTCCTCCATGCAGCGCTGCTCCTGCAGTAGTCTTGCTGGGAAGCACTGACAGGATGGCATGCCGCAGGGCATTTGGAGGTGCATCGGTACAGTGCGTCTGGCTGCGGAGACCCCAGATCGGGGGCTGCTGACCGCTGGTTGTCCGGGCTTCTCTCCCCCTCCCTTAATATAGGTGCTGTGTGTCTGCAGCTTATCCTGGGGTAGGCATTTACCCAAGGCAAACAGGTCCTCCCCCACCTCTTGGTGAAGTGCTGTCATAGTGCCTACTACATGCAGCTTCTCTGCAAAAACTGGTTGTCTGTCCGCTCTAGATGTAGGCTTCATTTCCTTTGGTGTACAAGCCCGATGCAGGTGACACGGTAAAGGGTCCCAGACCCTGGATTTCTGTAATGACACCATTGTGTTTGCATCGACTTGATAAAACTGGACCTCTCAGCTCGTCTCTAGGACGAGCCGGTAAAATTAGAAAGGAGATGACAAATGCTAGGTAGGCGTCCTACCAACTCAGTAATCAGAGCTGTTCTTGCCCAATCTTACCCTGCCCCCATACTTTTATGTATTAAATATATTCCTCTTTTCTCTGGATGCTGTGACAATTACCTGTGAAACTAATGAGGAATGACAAATGAGGGGTTAGTTTTACAATGGAAAGACAATGTTAATGGAAAAATAGTTTTTCTTGCAAAAGTCAGCTCCCAGAAACGTTCAAGAATTTGCACAGGAAACATGGAGAAGCTTATTATAACTCTCTTCTGATAACTCTGCTTTTCAAACCGTCCTTTGCTATTAAAATAGTTTACAGCAGGGGGAAAAAAGGTAGAAATAAAATCAAGAAATGGCAAAGATAACGTAAGGTATTCATTACGGCTTCTTCCTGGTGAGTAACCTCAGGAAATAATTAACCTGCACTTGCAATACGGACCGGGAGCACTGAAGGAACCAGAAAATGGCATCAGACTGGGTTTTTTTTAAATTACTCCAGCATTGAAGATTTCATGCATAGTAATATATAGCTACTTTGCCTCCAGGAAAAAAAAAAAAAGTACTCTTTTGTCCATACTGGTTTTTTTGGGAAAAACTTTTAGTTTCCCTGCCTAATGGAGTGTACAGTTAAAAGTGGGGTTTGTCTGAATATTGTCTCACTGCCTTTTAATTAAAAAATAACACCACAAAATATTGCGGGTTGCGACTGATCTTAGTGGATCAGAATTCACACCCGCGATTCTTGGTCCGGCGGACGGAGAAGTCCCATCAAAGCCAGCGGTAGAGGCCCGTGCTGTCGATTCAAGTGGTCTGGGTTCAGCCTCAGACGGATGAACCGGTTGAGGGATGCATGTGGTTTCATAGGATGAGTTTTCTGTGCCCGCTCCCGTATATCTTTAGTAAAACTCCTTCTTAAAAGCAGCACTGAGGTTGCAAAGTGAAACTTTCCAGCTGGAGAAACCGAAGCTGCCGCGTACCCCTCTTTTGGTCCCGATATGTGTATGCATCACAGACCAGTCTTGAGCTTCCGGCTACTTGTCCTCCAGTGCCCTGCTCAGTTAGCAGGATGGATGCTGAAGGGGGGAAAGGCTGCTCTCTCTTGGGTGAGGTGCTGGAGGGGGACCCCAGAGGAGGAGGTGAAGAGGTGATGTGATGCTGAGCAAGGCTGTATCAGGCTAGTGGCCAAAGGGGCTACATGCAAACTGAATAGGCCGCCTGAATTCTGGTGCAGGCGGGCTGGGCTTTGCAACCTGGGCTTGCTTTTAGCAGACCTCTTGCATGCACTTTTGACGCCAGCAGCATCCAAATCCAGGACTGGGCTTCCTTGTGCTAGGGATTGCCTGTCCGAATAGCAAGGGAGCTCGCGGCGCTGTGTAAGACACACCATGCAGCCGAAACAGGCCCGCCGTGGCAGGGGGGAGGAGAGCAGCCAAGCAGACCGGGGCCGAAAGCCAGAGTTTCAGCCCACCTGGCCACGAAGGCAGTAATGAGACAAACAGCCCCGTGCAGCTCTCCTGAAGGGAGCACGCTTTTTTTCCTTCCTCCCACTCCGTTCTGTCAAACAGGCATCTCCTCTGCCAGCTCGCATGAAATATTAATAATAACCCTCTTCCCAACCAGATGTTTAAATCCTTTGCTCCGAGCCAAGTGACAGCAGCCCAGCCCGAGTGACGAGTGTGAAAAACCTGATCCTCCTTGCGGAGACGTCGTCAGCGTGCTCGGCGGGGGAGGCCCAGCTGCTCTGTGTAGGAAAAGTCTTGCTAACTATGCTTGAAGCTGTATGGAGGGCACAGGGGCTGCCTGCCTCCGTCCAAGGGGCAAGGTACTCCCGGGCTGCAGAAGCCGGAGAGTTCACGGACATTTCATCGTACACCGATTCCCTTCCTTTCTGCCTCCAGCTTTTAGCCCGTGCAACCGTAGCATTCCCCAGGCTGCTGCTTAGCTGAGCAGGATGCTCTGTACTTCCACTGGGGCAATCGCCCAGAAACACCAGCGATAAAAATGAACAAACAACTTCCATCGACAGGTTGCACTTTATAATGAAAACACATGCACAGCTAAAACATTTAGCGCTAAAACATTTTGCACTAAAACAGGCCGCACCGGTTAAGTGCTGTGATGGAGCTGTTCAAAAAGTAGCTAATACCATTTTTTGTTGTTGGTTTTTTTTTTTTGGTTGGCTGCCTCATTTTTTGTGCGTGTGAAGGGGAATAATGTGCCCAGTTTGCAGCACTAAACAGCCAGAAAAAACAAGGGGAAGTGATAATTTTTTCATCTCGAGCTTGAGATGCCCTAGGGGAGCCTGCTTTTCAGATGGCGGTTGCTCAACCTTTTCCGAGAATCAGGCCCCATTAAGGTATCTTGTTGGGAACGCAAAAATAGCTGGTTACTTTTTAAGCCCTTGACTCGTATTTCTCCGAAGCGGTCAAACCAGCAGTGTTCAGCCGTGCGCGGCATTACAGACGGGGGTTTGAAAACTTCCGTCGTGACTTCATCTCTCCGTACGCCGGACTGACGCCCGCTTGTGATCCTTCCCAGACCTGGCTTCCAGCTTGCGCGGAGACCGTGTTTCATAAATCATTGGCGACAGTTTCAGGATATTGGCCACGTTTACCTCTTGGTCACGTGGCCAACTATCCCCGGTGATGGATGATCAAAGAATGTCCTGAGCTTTTAGAGGTGGAAAAGTTTGAATTTCCCCTTGTTTTTTTGGCTTTCTAGTGCTGCAGACTGAGTACATGATTCCCCTTGTCGGATATGCCTGGCTGAAATGTAGAGCAGGCTTTCCTCTCCACGCTTAATGTGCTACGTGCACCCCGAGGCCTCTGCCCGAACTTCACAAGACCTAGCAGAAGCCTAGTAAAGCACTGGAACGGGTTACCCGGAGAGGTGGTGGCGTCTCCATCCTTGGAGGTTTTGCAGACCCGGGTAGACAAAGCCTTGTCTGGGATGATAGAGTTGGGGCTGGTCCTGCTTGGAACAAGGGGTCAGACTAGATATGACTTCTGAGATCCCTTCCCACCTCATTTTCTACGATCCTGTGATTGTATTCAAGGCTATCACATTGCCAAACAAGCTGGGATGGGATGGAGGAAATTTCCAGTCCCTGCAACCTTGGATTCTTCTTTTTTTTTGTTTTAGTGGCTGCTCAGACTCATATTTGAACCTCAGACCAGGGAAATCTTTTGAAAGCATCTAATCCCCAGTAACACGGGTGCATTTGTGTTGATGAAAGCCTGAAAGCCACTCCTGGTTTGTTTTTTTTTCCTTACTCCAGGTCAATTAAACCCATCGGTGGCTTTTCGAAGTGGCTAAGGGCTCTGAGAGTCTAGGCATCGTTCATGGGAGAGGGCTAGTGGGAGGTGATGCTCTTTGAGGGTTGTGATAAGCACCATGCAGAGATGATGAATTCATTTGTATCATAGGGCTGCAGGGAGGCAGCCTCCCTGCATTTTGTATGCAATTCTCTCAGATTTGTGGTCACGGTAATGGCCCCATCTTTAATGCAGTATCGTGGAGTGAATTCTTCCAGAAGGGATCCCAAGGGCCTATTCACTGTCACCCTTCTCCGTCGCTGAGGATTCCTGGGTCATTCGAACACATCTCTCATCCTGTTTTGAGCAGCACAGCTCCGCAACCTGGCCCTGTTAACCCATGCAAGGCCCAGCTCATCTTGATAACGGCGATCCTAATGTTTAACATAAATTGCCCCTTTTGCACTGTAAACCCATCCCTTTTTGAGTTCTTCCTCTGGGCTACTCCTTGCTCCGTCCTATTGATAGCATTGCTTGAGGTATTTGCAGACAACCGATGTGTCCCTTCTCTTCGTAGGCCGAAGGCCCTTGCCTTTTCTATTGGCTCTCATTTTCCAAATCTACCATTTTATTTTTTCCCCCCTTTGTCTCTCTCTTTTTTTAAACTCCCTTAAGCCCAGGTGGTGTGTGCAATTATGCCCCGTTGTTGAGACTCACAGCCAGGGC